CTCATCTGGTGCCGGTAGTACTCACTGGCTGTACTCTGGTAATGAAATTGGGGCACGTCCATAGATACGGGGGTGGCAGGCCCCATACACATTGTGATCCATCAACATTTGAATCTCTCCATAAACATCAGCAGTCTGTCGGTAGACATTGGGGTCCTTCCAAGGATATTGGGGCTACCCATAAACACCACCGTCTGCCCACAGACATTGGGTGATGTAACTAAAATTGAAACTGAAGCACCACACCATTGGTAAGAGGTCCAGATACAACTTTATTCCATTAAGGGCTCATGTACACTGCAGCTGATAAACTCACGTTTAGGAGCCTTTCTGCGTTTTTTTCCAGCAGCCCCTGAACTCCCACTAATGTTTTCCTATGTGTCCGTGTACACATCATCGTTTACAGTCGTTTACAAGCGTTTGAGTTTACAGTTGTTTTTTTGAACGCACCAAACGTTCAGCAGTCAATTTTATCAGCGTTTCAAACTCAAAACGCTTGCAAACGCGGCAAATCGCGTTTATAAGTGTTTGCGTTTGAAATTTATTTTAAACTCTTCCAGTTCCCGATGCTGTCCAGAACCTTTTTTCATCACAGGATGTTCCTACCAAGTTTGTCACACCTTGTAATGACCAATTCACACCTCAGACCTCTCCCACCCTTGGAAACAAAAGATATGTTAATGACCAATTCACACCTCAGACCTCTCCCACCCTTGGAAACAAAAGATGTGTTAATGACCATTCACACCTCAGACCTCTCCCACCCTTGGAAACAAAAGATATGTTAATGACCATTCACACCTCAAATTCCTCATGAGGACCCCCTGCCAGGTGGCCTTACTGACTCCCTCCAACAGACACCTTTCCCACCCTTGGAAACAAAATAAATGCTAATGAGCAACTCACACCTAAGCTAATCTCAACACATACTGCTGTCTCTGCTTCTACTCTCTGTATTTCTCTGAAACAGTCTGAAATAGTTAAAAATTTACCACTTTTCAGTGCATTCTGGGCATTTGGGAGGTTCTCCTGTGCTTATCTTTAAAAAATGGTTCTAAACGCAAACGCACATAAATGCGAATAAATGCATTATGCAAACGCGGCTAAACAAACGTTTTTTACCTACATTTTCCAGCAGTCAATTTCCATCGTTCAGAAGTGTCCCGTGTACATGGGGCCTAAAAGTCATGAGTACAATCCAGAAAAATAGCCAACATGTTCCAGGGGTCCAAGTGCCCCCTTCACCAGGGTTTTTCCAGTGTGAATTACATGCACAGGCCTTATAGACAGTTTTTTTGGCAGCAGACATTGGGGTTAGTCTCTACATATATAGGGTTGATTTGCTAAAATTGGAGAGTGCGAAATCTGGTGCAGCTGTGCATGGGAACCAATCAGCTTCTAACTTCAGCTGGTTCAATTACAGTGGAACCTTAGCTTTCACAATGAAAATGGGCAGACAGGCAGGATTTTTAACGCAGAAGAGACATGCTTTATCTTTTCTGCATTAAAGCTACTTACCTGCCTGTCCGCCCCTGTAGAGTAAGCATATCTGATGGAACTTCCTGATGTCAACTCGGCCCAGTCTGGCCAATGACAGCATCTGGTGACTGAGACCTGGAAGATGTCCGAATAGTCCCAAGGATGGCGCATTGCTGGATTCTAGGTATAGTTCCGCTTTAATTTTTGACAAAAAAACTAGAAGCTTAATCGATTTCTAGCCAGATTTTGCACTTTTCAGTTTTATTAAACCAACCCCATAGGGTCCATGCATAGACATTGGTGTCTGTCCGTAGACACTGAGGTCTGTCCACCCACACTGGGGTCTATTTGTAGACATTGGGTACTAGCAGTAGGCACTGCGGTTCATCTAAAAGAAATTGAAGTCTGTCCATCCACATTGAGATCTATCTCTAGACATTGGGCTCTGTCTGTAGACATTGGGCTCATTGAGTCATGTATGTCCATAAACTGGTATGTGGACACTGGGGTTATTTATAGACATTGAGATTCATCCATGGACATTGGGGGATGTCCATAGACATTGGTATGTGCCCATAGACACTGGGGTCTGTCCACCCACATTGGAGTCTATATGTAGGCATGGTGACTTTCCATAGACACTGGGGTCTGTCCGCCCACATTGGGGTCTGTGCATAGACATTGGTACTGACTGTAGCCACTGGGGCCCATCCAAAGAAATTGGAGTCTGTCCACCCACATTGAGATCTATCTGTAGACATTGGGCTCTGTCCTTAGACACTGGGGCCCATTTACAGACATTGAGAGCCATCCACGGACATTGGGGGGATGTCCATAGACATTGGTATTTGTCCATAGACACTGGGGTCTGTCCACCCACATTGGGGTCTATCCGTAGACATTGGGTACTGACTGTAGCCACTGGGGTCCATCCAAAGAAATTGGAGTCTGTCCACCCACATTGAGATCCATCTGTAGACATTGGGCTCTGTCCTTAGACACAGGGGCCCATTTACAGTCATTGAGAGCCATCCACGGACATTGGGGGGATGTCCATAGACATTGGTATTTGTCCATAGACACTGGGGTCTGTCCACCCACATTGGGGTCTGTCCGTAGACATTGGGTACTGACTGTAGCCACTGGGGTCCATCTAAAGAAATTGGAGTCTGTCCACCCACATTCAGATCTATCTGTAGACATTGGGCTCTGTCCTTAGACACAGGGGCCCATTTACAGACATTGAGAGCCATCCACGGACATTGGGGGGATGTCCATAGACATTGGTATTTGTCCATAGACACTGGGGTCTGTCTACCCACATAGAGGTCTATTCGTAGACATTTGGGACTATAGACATTGGTGACTATCCATAGACACAGGGGTCTGTCCACCCACATTGCGGTTTATTCGTAGACATTGGGTACTGGCTGTAGTCATTGTGGTCTATCCATAGAAAGTGGAGTCTGTATACCCACATTGAGCTCTATCTGTAGACTTTGGACTTTGTAGACCTTGGGGCCTATTCAAAGACATTGAGATCCATCCAAAGACACTGGGGTCTGTCCATTGACATTGGGTCTGTTCATTGACTTTTGGGTGTGTCCATAGACAGTGAGGTCCATCCATAGATGTCAAGATTTTTCTATAGAGTTGAGTCTGTCCATAAACATTGGGGACTATCTTTAAACATTGGGGTCTGTTCATTGACATTGAGATTCATCCAGTAAAAGGAACCGCACTTCCAACACAGATATAATTTCCCACTATGCATCTCTACGACACATCACAAGTGCATTTTCAATGATTTTCCATATGGTTTGGTTAGCTGCAGTTACGCTGGCTGATCTTCAGATATTCCCAAATCCTTCAAGCTCATAGCAACAAAAGCTCCTGAACAGACAGAGGACATCTATTGTGTGCGCTGACAGAAAATTCTATTTTCAGAAGTCTGACATTGTAGCCAGATGTAGGAAACAGCATGCAGCATCCTCAGCATCATGTACGCAGTATGGGGGGTGAAATCTCTGAGGACGGGGACAGTTACTGACTTATGAGGAAATCCATAGCATAAACTCCCTCTGATATTTATTCTGATTCTGTGTTTTGTGAGTGACAGGTGCTCTTTAGTGTGCCGTATATAGGGAGGATATGGGGCCAGGCCATGGAACACACTGCATGGTCATATGAGCCTTGTGTGGGTGACGACATTGCAGTGTTTGGTGGTACATGGGTTATTACATGGTGGTAAATGAGCCTTTTCAGGTCTAGCGGGATGGGAATTTCTGTAAATGGAAATGTGTAATCTGAGCCGCCATCTTGCAGTCTTTCTGCGGCATTTATTGACGTGACATTGCGGATTTCTTTGGTTATCCATGTTCACGATGACACGTTAACCTTCTGCTGTGATTGGGGTTGTCACATTGGACAGTCATTGTGACCCGCATAGTATTAGTGGGGGGGGCTTGTGATTGGTTATAGTGATCTGTAACAAATGTGCATCCGGTGCAAACCACATAAACGATTGGAGGGGGATAACCAACCACAATACTCCTAATAATGCACTCTAGAGACTTCCGCAGCCTTTGCTGCTGTTCTTAGTGCCCCCGATGGAACTGATTGGCTCCTGAATTACAAATTTATGGGCAGTAGTTGTAATGGGGAGATTTCCTGCAGTAGTTTGTGTCTATGCCCCTCCCACTATGGTGAGATTTCCTGCAGTAGTCTGTGTCTATGCCCCTCCCACTATGGTGAGATTTCCTGCAGTAGTCTGTGTCTATGCCCCTCCCACTATGGTGAGATTTCCTGCAGTAGTTTGTGTCTTTGCCCCTCCCACTATGGTGAGATTTCCCGCAGTAGTTTGTGTCTATGCCCCCCCCACTATGGTGAGATTTCCCGCAGTAGTTTGTGTCTATGCCCCTCCCACTATGGTGAGATTTCCCGCAGTAGTTGGTGTCTATGCCCCTCCCACTATGGTGAGATTTCCTGCAGTAGTTTGTGTCTCTGCCCCTCCCACACTATGGTGAGATTTCCCGCAGTAGTTTGTGTCTACGCCCCTCCCACTATGGGGAGATTTCCTGCAGTAGTTTGTGTCTATGCCCCTCCCACAATGAGATTTCCTGCAGTAGTTTGTGTCTATGCCCCTCCCACAATGAGATTTCCCCCAGTTTGTGTCTCTGCCCCTCCCACAATGGTGGGATTCCTCTGCAGTAGTTTGTGTCTATGCCCCTCCCACAATGAGGAGATTTTCCCCAGTTTGTGTATCTGCCCCTCCCACAATGGTGGGATTCCCCTGCAGTAGTTTGTCTCTGCCCCTCCCACAATGGTGGGATTCCTCTGCAGTAGTTTGTGTCTCTGCCCCTCCCACAATGGTGGGATTCCCCTGCAGTAGTCTGTGTCTCTGCCCCTCCCACAATGGTGGGATTCCCCTGCAGTAGTCTGTGTCTCTGCCCCTCCCACAATTGGGAGATTTATCCCCAGTAGTTTGTGTCTCTGCCCCTCCCACAATGGTGGGATTCCCCTGCAGTAGTTTGTGTCTCTGCCCCTCCCACAATGGGGAGATTTATCCCCAGTAGTTTGTGTCTCTGCCTCTCCCACAATGAGATTTCCCTGGAGTAGTTTGTGTCTCTGCCCCTCCCACAATGGTGGGATTCCCCTGCAGTAGTTTGTGTCTCTGCCCCTCCCACAATGGTGGGATTCCCCTGCGGTAGTCTGTGTCTCTGCCCCTCCCACAATGGTGGGATTCCCCTGCGGTAGTCTGTGTCTCTGCCCCCCCCACAATGGTGGGATTCCCCTGCGGTAGTCTGTGTCTCTGCCCTTCTCACAATGGTGGGATTCCCCCTGTAGTAGTCTGTGTCTCTGCCCCTCCCACAATGAGGGATTCCCCTGCAGTAGTCTGTGTCTCTGTCCCTCCCACAATGGTAGGATTCCCCTGCAGTAGTCTGTGTCTCTGCCCCTCCCACAATGGTGGGATTTTTTTCGCAGTACGTTTGGTGTCCCTGCCCAGTTCTTCATTCTACCCGTAATCCAGGATGGGATTCCCCTGTAACAATATGATGTAGATCTGTGTCTCTGCCCCAGATTCTATACATGACTTGGTAGATGGGATTCCCTGTGTATCAGTCTGTGTCTCTGCCCCTCCCACAATGTATTATATGTCAATATTTGTCCCTTGCGTAGGTGTGTCCCGGGGACTCCGGCAATCACAGCCGCCTTCCATCCGCACAGCCGCTTTAATTAACTTAATTCAGACATTATTGTGTCTCTGCCCCTCCCGGGGGGCAAATATTTCATGTATCAACAGAATGCGGCGGAGAGTTCAGAGCGGAGAGGAATATCACCGGCGCGGTGGCAGCGCATCTCACCCCCCCCCATCGCAATCTGCCCCCCCATCGCAATCTTACCCCCCCCCATCGCAATCTGACCCCCTCCCCCTTCAAAGTGTTAGGGTCAAAGGGTAAGTTCTCTTTCACCTGCATCCAGAGGCGGACTGACTATTTGGAAACTCAGGCTATGCCCAAGGGCACGAGGTCTAGGGGGCCCCATGAGATGCCCCTGGTACCTTTTTCATGGCTTTTTGAGATTTAGGCAAGGACACAGGGCCCCATGATCCCCTATTGCCGGGGTGCCCCCATGAGTTGTCATGCCCCTGCCTGCATCTCTGATTGAAGTTGGATAATGCCCTTGCTTGTGCCGGCCATTTACATACCTCCCGAAGCCTGGCCAACAGGGGTGGCATCCCTCCTTCCTGCCTTGTTGCTTTAGCATGTTGCTAAGACACTCCCAGCAGCTACTGGTCAACCCAGCATCTCCAAGGGGAGTAGCATCCATCTGCCCTTAGTTCACACCGGCGCGGTGGCAGCACCATCTCACCCCTATACATGCAGGCAAGATGGCGTGCTTAGCTGAGGAAACCCCTCCAACTTTATTATAGAGCCACACTGTCAGGGATCGCGGCTCCGTGGTCCACGATCGCGGCTCTGTCCCCCCGCATGCGCAATTGGCGGCAGATTGCGCCGGCACACAGGCACTAATGTCCCGGCAAGCCGCGGCTTGACAGTGTTAGCGCATGCGCAGTAGGTGCCTGGGCGGCGCGCCTCAGGCGTCCAAACTCAGGGGGCTGCCCTAGCCGGCCAATGACAGTGGGGGCGCACTATTTAAAGATGCCCCTGCACTGTCACAGATTGCCGCAAGGTCTTCCTTGATTGAGTTCCTGCACCTGCAAGTGACCCTGATTGACCCTGACTACGCTGCCTCCCCTGTGATTGACCAGGGATTGCCCCCCATGAGTACTCTCCTGCTCCCCCCTTTGCATCTCTGATTGCCCTGACCATTTACGGATTGACTTCCCTGCTGACCCTGCGTGTGACCCGACTACTCTTCGCCTACCGATTCCTACCCCCGCTTACCCTCACGGGCCAACGATCCGTTACTACCCTGCTTCCTGCCATCCCTGTTCTATCTGGCTCTCCCGGTACCTGTCCCCAAACACTCCTCAGCACTGGTGGGCCTGCTCCCACCATTCGTGACCTGGCCCGGGACTGTTTCATCCATCCCCCCATTAGGGCTCTGGTGAAAGCAGGCTTAGACCCCGGCTGCTGAGTAGGTCTGTCAGTTGGCAGCCTGAGGCACCACCTGGCGGATTATAGAACACACACAGTTTGTTTTTATCTACAGGCTCCCCTTACCTGCATAGGCCCAGATGGGGCTTCCCTCCTTCCTGCCTTGTTGCTAGGATGTTGCTAAGACAACTCTCAGCTGTTACTGCTCACCCCCCACCATCACAGAAGGGAGTTCTCAAACCTCTGCACATGTGTGATCCACTATCTCCTCCATCACAGCATTGTTGAGCTCAAAGCTACTGTGACAGGGGAGAGAGAGAGCACATGTGAGGGGGTTTTAAACAGCTGGGAATGTCTTAGCAACATCCTAGCAACAAGGTAGGATGGGATGATGCAATCCCGGGGAGTTTTTCAGACATGCTTAGGGAGGTATGGAAATGGCTGATACCTATAGCAAGGGCATTGTTTAACTTGGCTCAGTTTGTGTTTATCTACAGCAAAGTTTCTCAGCTAGGGTTCCTCCAGAGGTTGCTAGGGGTTCTTTGAGCAATGACCAGTTTCTGCCTCTCAGATAGGTTCCCATTGGCACCATTGATCTTTTTGGCTCTGTAAGGGGGTAATTCTTCTCACTGACAACCAACCCCCCCAATGTAAGGGACATTCTTCTCCCACTGACCACCAATGTAAGGAGCATTCTTCCCACTGACCCCCAATGTAAGGGACATTCTTCCCACTGACCACCAATGTAAGGAGCATTCTTCCCACTGATCACCAATGTAAGGAGCATTCTTTTCCCACTGACCTCCAATGTAAGGGACATTCTTCCACTGATCACCAATGTAAGAGACATTCTTCCCACTGACCACCAAGTGTAAGGGACATTCTTCCCACTGACCTCCAATGTAAGGGGCATTCTTCCCACTGACTCCAATGTAAAGGGCATTCTTCCCACTGACCCCCAATGTAAGGGACATTCTTCCCACTGACCTCCAATGTAAAGGGCATTCTTCCCACTGACCTCCAATGTAAGGGACATTCTTCCCACTGACCACCAATGTAAGGGACATTCTTCCCACTGATCACCAATTTAAGGGACATTCTTCCCACTGACCACCAATGTAAGGGACATTCTTCCCACTGACCTCCAATGTAAAGGGCATTCTTCCCACTGACCACCAATGTAAGGGACATTCTTCCCACTTGACCCCCCAATGTAAGGGACATTCTTCCCACTGACCCCCAATGTATGGGACATTCTTCCCACTGACCCCCAATGTAAGGGACATTCTTCCCACTGACCCCCCAATGTAAGGGACATTCTTCCACTGATCACCAATGTAAGGGACATTCTTCCCACTGATCACCAATGTAAGGGACATTCTTCCACTGACCCACCAATGTAAGGGGCATTCTTCCCACTGACCCCCAATGTAAGGGACATTCTTCCCACTGATCACCAATGTAAGGGATTCATTCTTCCCACTGATCACCAATGTAAGGGACATTCTTCCCACTGACCCCCAATGTAAGGGACATTCTTCCCACTGACCACCAATGTAAGGGGCATTCTTCCCACTGACCCCCAATGTAAGGGACATTCTTCCACTGACCACCAATGTAAGGAGCATTCTTCCCACTGACCACCAATGTAAGGGGCATTCTTCCCACTGACCATCACACTAATGTATCATGAGTTGTAGATATGGCCATTCTTATCAGGGGTTCCTGAGCCAGGAAAGATCTTTCAAGGGTACCTCTGTGTTAAAAAGGCTGAGAAAAGGCTGATCTACAGGCACCCTTTACCCACATAGGCCGGTGTTTGGGTTTAAAGGTGAACTAACCCTTTAAGCCAGGGCTCGACAGATCCCAGGTGCCAGGTCGTCGCCAATGCGTCTTGGCGTCTGGGTTCACACACTGCCTCCCATTGACTTCAATGCAAAATCGTGTCCCATAGACTTCAGTGCAAAATCGTGTCCTTTAGACTTCAATGCAAAATCGCCTCCCATAGACTTTAATGAAAAAACGCCTCCCATAGACTTTATTGCAAAAATGCCCTCCATTCACTTCAGTGTGAAAACTCCTGTCAATAGCAATCCTATGTGAAACACTTATCTTCGCATGCCACTCTATTACTTTCGAGTCTGGAACGCACCGTACAAACCCACACAGGATCCTTTTTGTAATGGCACTCAAAACACAATGTGTGTGGATTGCATCCGTGTTGACCACCTCAAAAGAAGCGCATAAAATCCAACCTGTGATGTGAGTCTGGGAGTTTGAAAACGCCTCCAGAATCGCATCTGTGTGAACCAGGGCGGCTCCATTCACACCCGGACGTTTTGGGATTGCGACAGAATCGCCGCAATCTCAAAATGTGGGTTCAAGTGCCATTATTTTCAATACTTTTACCCAATATAGTGTATGTAAGCATGTACAGTACATTCACCCGGCCACTTTATTAGGTCCACCTGTTCAGTAACACAAATTTCTAATCAGCCAATCACCTGGCAGCAACTCAATGCATTTAGGCATGGTCAAGGCGACTTGTCTGGGGGAACCACCTCTTTAACCAGTCCGGTGTAGCGTACCAACGCATTAACAATTTGTAGGAGGTTTCTGGAGTCCTGGTGCTAATGGAACATTTGTGAGCAAACGATACACATATCTATGTTGTTTTTATTATATTTTTTGTTCATTTTATTTTATTTATTTCAGGTACTTATATAGCGCCCATCAATTTACGCAGCGCTTTACATATATATTGTACATTCACATCAGTCCCTAACCCTCAAGGAGCGTACAATCTAAGGTCCCTAACCCTCAAGGGGCGTACAATCGAAGGTCCCTAACCCTCAAGGGGCGTACAATCTTAGGTCCCTAACCCTCAAGGGGCGTATAATCTAAGGTCCCTAACCCTCAAGGGGCGTACAATCTAAGGTCCCTAACCCTCAAGGGCGTACAATCTTAGGTCCCTAACCCTCAAGGGGCGTACAATCTAAGGTCCCTAACCCTCAAGGGGCGTACAAACTAAGGTCCCTAACCCTCAAGGGGCGTACAATCTAAGGTCCCTAACCCTCAAGGGGCGTACAATCTAAGGTCCCTAACCCTCAAGGGGCGTACAATCTAAGGTCCCTAACCCTCAAGGGCGTACAATCTAAGGTCCCTAACCCTCAAGGGCGTACAATCTAAGGTCCCTAACCCTCAAGGGGCGTACAATCTAAGGTCCCTAACCCTCAAGGGGCGTATAATCTAAGGTCCCTAACCCTCAAGGAGCGTACAATCTAAGGTCCCTAACTCACATTCATACATACACATACTAGGGACAATTTAGACAGGAGCCAATTCACCTACCAGCATGTCTTTGGAGTGTGGAGGAAACCGGAGTACCCAGAGAAAACGCCTGCAGGCACAGGGAGAACATGCAAACTCCAGGCAGGTGGTGCCGTGGTCAGGATTCGAACCAACGACCCGAGTACTGCCAGGTGGAAGTGTTAACCATTTAGCCACTGTGCTGCCCAGCCTCTTATATCTAGAAAGCCCTTGGCAGGGTAGGAATAATGTCACATGACCAGCAGACCAGATCTGTCTTGGATTGATCATTCATTGGTTCAGCATTCACTGAATGGCAAGCTAAATTAGTAACATGGGGAGGGCAGATTTGAGTTCTTTATGGGAAAAAACATTCTAATTATGCTTTATCCATTTCAGTTACTCTGCAAAGGTTGGGAAAGCAGTATAGATCGTTGGGGCAGAACATCACTGTTGTGCTTAGGACCTATTGGGAAGGACCTGATGTTCTCTTTGTTAAAGGACGGGTCCAGGGGTGGACTGACAACTCATGGGGCCCTCCGGGCAATAGGGGATCATGGGGCCCCTGTGTCCTTGCCCAAACTCAAAAAAAGCCTATGAAAAAGGTACCAGGGGCATCTCATGGGGCCCCCTACTATGGCCCTTGGGCAGTGCCCAAGTTTCCAAATGGTCAGTGCGCCCCTGGACGGGTCAACATAAGCTTCCACTACAGCAGGAAAGACGTATGGAAGGCCCTCAGTCTCCGCCGCTACACTCAAGGACTCCGTTTCAGCCTTCAGTCTTTGCTAGTTGCTGCTATCTTCCACCCACAATCATTTTCTCTGATAGGCTAAGTAAGAAGCATAGCATGGATCCTCAGACTTGGAGGGTGGCTAACTCTTCTGTGTTCTCTCCACAGGTGAAAGAATGGCTGTGCCTGAACTGCCAGATGCAGAGGGCTCTGGGGATGGATATGAAAACTGCAACAAGATCAAAGAGTCAACAGCAACTGCACTCTCCTCTGTCTCCGTCTCAATCTCCAGCCAAACAAGCGAAACCTACCATGTCCCAGTCACTCCATCAGCTACCGCTGTCCCATTCCCCACCGCAGTCCCGTTCACAGCCCCCTTCTCAGCCCCAACTGCAGCATCATATGCAACCCCAAAAGCTTCAGCAGCCGCAAACTCCACTTCAGCAGCCGCAAACCCCACCACAGCACCGCACTCAGCTACACTCCCAGCAACAGGGACCTCCGCCGGCTCAGTCTCATGATCCCATTCTCAGTGGTCTTCAGCAAAAGTCTCCCTATTCACAAGTACAGCAAAAACCACATGCGCAGAATATCCCACTCTCCCAAACCCAACAACAAATGCACCACAAGCCCCAAACTGCACACCAGTCCCAGATGAGAAGTGTGTCAGAGTCTTCTCTGGGGACCATGCCGATGGAAAGCCTTCACAGTTCAACTATGTCAAGTCAGCAAGGAAAACCTCAGCCCATCCACGCAAGAGAACAAATCAGCCAAGGACACCCAAAACCAACTGGCCCCCAGGACATTCTGAGGGGGTCTCAGCAACCTCAGATGAAACCATCACCGGCAGAGCAGAGAAAAACTCCAGGAAGTTCTCCAGCAAAAACCCCTGCTGCTCCCTCCCATGGGCCCCAGGATCAAAGCCAGGAGGGGCTCACTGGTAAACTGTTTGGCTTTGGAGCCTCCCTCCTGAACCAGGCAAGCACGCTCATCTCTGTCCCTGAAACCACCCCGCAGAGCCAGGCGTCCCCTAGCAAAGTGTCTCCAAAAATCGTCTTTAGTGATGCCAGCAAGGACATTGGCACGAAAGGCCAGGGACCAGCTTCTACCATACCTAGCAGAACAGAGAGCTCCCCTCTTCACAAGCCGGGGAAGATTGACTACGTCAAGCCAAAGGAAGTGCCGAAAGTCATGTGCCCATTGTGTAAAACAGAACTTAATGTGGGATCCGCTGAGCCCGCCAATTACAACAGCTGTACATCGTGTAAAAAACAAGTGTGCAATATGTGTGGCTTCAACCCAACTCCTCACTTGCTGGAGGTAGGACCCCACTTAATTCTTCAGTCGCTGCTTATGTTATGCTATGTTTGTATCATCAAAGGAATACCGGGGTTGGGGATGTCCTGGAAATGCTAGGTGCCTGGCTGGTATGCTTATCTTCTGGCTCCAATGTTTTCTGAGCCACTGACCTGGATGGAACAAGTATGGAGGTTAGAAAAGTTGGAGAAAAGTCAGAACTTCTTATCTACTGATTTGTTTCAGGTTAATTAATCAAAAATTTAAAGCCGATGGGTCTTTGATGGTGAGCATTGACATCCTCAGTGTGTCTTTGGAGAATTGGGGTCATGACAGCCAGGCAACTAACATTTTCAGAGGTCGGCAATGATGTACTCCTTGTTTCTTTAGTGGATTGAGGGTCATGACAACTAGGCAACTAACATTTTCAGATGCCAGTAATGATATCCTCCTTGTTTCTTTAGAGGATTTAGGGTCATCATAACAACTAGGCAATTAATATTTTTGGAGGTTGGCAATGATGTACTCCTTGTTTCTTTAGTGGATTAAGGGTCATCGTGACATCTTGGCAAATTATATTTTCACAGGTCAGCAATGAGGTCCTCCATGTTTCTTTGAAGGATTGAGGGTCATCATGATAACTAGGCAACTCATATTTTTGGAGGTCGGCAATGATGTCCTCCTTGTTTCTTTAGTGGATTGAGGGTCATCATGACAACTAGGCAACTAATATTTTCAGAGGTCGGCAATGATGTCCTCCTTGTTTCTTTAGTGGATTGAGGGTCATCGTAATATCTAGGCAACTGATATTTTCACAGGTCAGCAATGATGTCCTCCATGTTTCTTTGGAGGATTGAGGGTCATCATGACAGCTAGGCAACTAAAATGTTCAGAGGTCAACAATAATGTCCTCCATATGTCTTTGGAGGATTACGTCATGACAACCAGGCAACTAACATTTTCAGAGGTCCTTCACATTTCAAGCTGGGCTGGTTCAGTCTGAGGAAATCTGGTGGAGAAATTGGGAACACCTGAACTAACTATTCCCAGGTACTGCCATGGCAAGGTCTTTCTCACTGCCCTTGCTGATCATCATAGTGGTTGCAGCAGGAGGAGTTAAACTTTTCTTGCTGTAACAAGTGAAATAAGACTCCATAAGTTGATGGAAACACAAAGATGATCTATGTGCAACCTTGAACAATAAAATAAACCATTTCAGGGTATTTAGTAACACTGGAGCACTCAGAATCTGGTGCAACTGTGCATGGCAGTCAGTCAGGTTCCTACTTCAACTTGTTCAGTTAAGCTTTGGCAATAAAACCTGGAAGCT